CCGGGTTAATGGGGCCTCCTGCTAAGATTAAGAATTCTCTTGCCTTCTACAGACCAGGCTTGGGAGATTTTTGTCTTTCATGATGCATTTGGACCAGATTTTGTTCTCGTGCAACATTTTCCTTCCAGACAAGACCATGTTTCTTGATGGTGGACACAGACTGGCTGCCCTGTAGGGAAGGATGCCCTGGGGCTCTGACCCACAAGACAGGCAGGAACAGGTTTTTCAGAAATCAAACATTTTGGTTTTCCAGTTGCGACATTTTCAGCTTTCAAATTGCTGCTGCTGGAACTTGAAGCTTTCAGTGAAAGCTTCTTCTTTATTTTTGACCATCTCACAAGCTGACAAAACGAGTGTAATATCCTCTGTCTCGTGGCAAAATTAGGAGACTTTCTAACCCCTTTTCCCCAAATAAGAGGTTGAATGTTGCTGCCTTCCTCCTCCCCCCGCCCTGAAAAAAATAGGAAATTATTTCCTTATCAGATCTGCGTGCTCCAGGTCCAGCTCCAAGTTCTGGTTTTGATATCTACTAAGAGAATTTTGTACGCTTTAGTGTGTACCTTGATTTTTAAAAACTGGCTGAGAACTGTTGGCTGCTGAGCACACCTTGATACTGTGTTGGTGTTGAGATGCTCATATGTGGATTGGGAAGCCTGTCCGGGGACTCGAGCTTGAAAATACTCACTCCTGGTAGCCATATGTTTGTGTAACAAACAAGTCACATCTCTGCACCTCCAACAGTTTCTGGTGTGATTTAATGGAACTGTGGGAGCAGGAAAAAGCCAGAAATACAATGATTTGAAAGAAAGTCTTTCAAATGTAATTGACACCCAGACTAGACTTTTAGCTACACAAACTTTCATTTATCTCTGTGGATGTCTCTACTTAAGTTCAAGGATTTATTAACTTTGATTTAGACTATTACATTTGGTCTATTTTTGTGATTATGATTATTATTTAACAGACTGTGTTTACTTCGCAGGAGAGTCACCCCCAAACCAGAAATTTTTAGATAATTTCAGTTACTGAGAACTAACTATGAGGGTGAAAAAAAAAATTAGGATGATAAAAGGTTCTTTCTTCTAGAAAAGCAGTCATACGTTATGATGAAAACGTATCACAGGAACTTAAGGAAAATATAGATTTTGGGAACCTGGGAGAGAATTGATGGCTTTTTTTTTTTTTTTTTTAAATCTCATTGTATTAATAATAATACAGTTTTACAAATGGAAATATTTCTGAAACTTTATTAACGGTGCTTTTTCTGAGCAAAACAGTCATTCTTGTTTGCATTAAATATGTGATGTGAAATTTACTGTGCTGGAATGTGAAGGAAACGGGGACACCTGCAGAGAAATCACCTTTGTTGTGGCAAATAGTAGAAACAATTTCTCAGTGTTTTATTTTGAATTACCACGACTCTACATGCAGAAGTAATTGTGTTCTGTAATGACTCGGGCTGGCTGGTGGGAGGGAAGGGCAAGAGGAGGGGGCTGGAGAGGAAACAGCCTTCTCAAAGTAAGTCAGTGGCTGGAAGGAGCTGTGTGAGTGTTGTGGCCAGGGACACTCCCTGGACAGGAGGTAGCCATGGTAGGACTTGATCTTCAGCTGGAGCTGGCTTAGCAAGGCAGCTTCACGTAGTTGGTGAGTGCAGGGTGAGGGACACAGTATGGCTTTTTTTTGGCCACAGGAGATGGGTGGTGAGGACAGCAAGGAAGATCTCCCCATGATGGGGGCTGTAGGTGAGGCAGCAGGGGCCGAGGCCCTGCGGGATGCTCAGCACTCCCTCCCTGCCCACGGAGCCGTCCACCTGCATCTCACCATACGTTGCCCGCACGCACACACAGAGTCACACACACACACACACTCTGAGGGTCTCCAGCTGTTCCTGACGATTCTTCACCCACAAGGAGAGTGACAGAAATGTTCTAGGGTTTGGGGATTTTTTACCATGTTCGCTTGTCTTAAAAGATACATCTCACTTTGCAGACGTAATTTAATAATTTTTCCAATTTTTATGAAATTTGTTTGGTTTTTTTTTTTTTAAATACAATGTTCTCAAAGAAAAGTGAAGTTACAATATAAAATCACAGCAAAAAAAAAAGGTGTGTAAATACAACTTTTCTATTAGAAAAGGCAATATCTGGGGAAGGGCTGGGAAGCAGTTACTTTTTACCTTTTTAAAACAGATATAAACTTAAAGCTATTCACCATATTTACTCATGTTAGGGTTCAGCTAAACCATATCAGGGTATTGCACCATAGCAAAAAAAAAAAAAAAAGAGAGAAAAAGAGAGATTACACTAGTTTTCTGAGGGCACAGTTTGTTTCGATGTACACACATACAACAGCCTATTTTCATGCCACCCTTGCATATGTTCGTAAATAAAATTATCGAAACCCTTGCTGCTAAAGAAATTGAAGAAGATTTTGTGCAAAAAAACCCCAAAAAACACTGAAGAAAAGCAAACCTTAAAACCCTCTTTGTGACCAGGGAATGCTGTTTGCTCCTGCCTTTAGACTATGCCCTCCGATACACTGTGTCTTAATATACTTACTTATACTACTGCACTGTTTAATATACAACATCAACATCTTCTCTTATAGTATAAATAAGAAAACTCCAGACCGAGGAAACAAACCCGCTATGATTGACAGTGCATCATCATGTCATATGAACCATTTTTGCTATATATATATACACACACATACATATGTATATAAAATATTAATGAATCACAAGACCAGGGATCAGGTGTGTGCATGTCGGCAAGAAAAGCAGCACAGAGACTCACGGAGGTGCGTGCACAGAGCTGTTGCAAAAGCAACAAACCTGCCCAGTAACCAGAACTCACATGTAAAAGCTAAGTTGAAGGCAGCCTTAGACTCCCCTGGAGCTACGCTTCTTTACGTGGCTAATGACCGTGGCTTTAGTTGTGTTGGATTTTTAGTAAAAGAAAAGAAACTAAACCACCTGAGTAAGCTTCTGCCCTCCACCCCCCAATAAGCTTGGCGTGTCTTAAAATGAAGGGTTTAAAAAAAAAAATAGGCACGGGATATGTAGTGGCCTAAATCTAAAAACAGCAGGAAAGAGGTGTAAAAGCAGAAATTTTCTGTACAGCCAATATCTGACTACGGACAGGACGTTGAAGCAGGGCTGGGAAATTGCTTCATCCCTTTCTTGGTTGGTATAACCTGAAAGTGGAGAGGGGTAAAACCAGCTGAATGTATCCCCCCGCCAGCTATGAAAAAATGAGCCCATTTCAACTTTATTTATGAACAAAAAAAAAGGAAAGTAATCAACCTCCGTCCCTGAAGGCCCTCTTCAGGTCATTCCTATACAAAATACTGAACTGGTGATACCTCATTGCCACGTACAGTCTGTCTTGGGGCTGAATGTGTGGCAGGCTTTGATGGTAAAACCGTAGTCGCCACATGCAAGTGTCCGACGAGTCCTTGTGCCCACCCTCTGCTCAGTCCCCCGGGCTGGAAGGTAACAAGCAGTAACTGCTCCTGAGGCAACTGAGTAATAATGTGGGAGTTGGAGACATCACCTTTGGGCCTGTGGTTTACACTCCTCGCTCTCTTGGGGGGTCATGGGCCACCCTGTACGTATGAGCTGGCAGAACACGTACTGGTGATTTGGTGTCACTGCCGCGGGTTCTGTGCATCAGCCCACGGATGTTCGTACACAGCCTTCACACTCGGTGGCAAAATGACTAAATGGGCACACATGTGTGCACTTCCAGTGTCAAAACACCGCTGTGCCCAGGTGTCACGTGAAATAAGTGCCTTTCTTACAGCTGGCGTGAAAAGTTAAGATGTGAGATTGAAAAAGCACATACTTGTAGTTCGCTATTTCATCAGTATCTTTCCTCTAACTTCAGTGTTGTTGCTCTTGACTTACACCTGCAAAAGTGAAAGCAGAAGAAGGAACTCCGCCTGCCTGTAATAGTGTGTGTATATAGGAAACGTGTATCAAATATAGCTACACGCAGCAGGCCAAACTGGCCTAGGTACAAGTGGTCATGCTTCCATTAAATCTCCTTTATAATAAATATATGTTCTTGCATGCACTCGTGAATAGAGAATGTGTAACTGTATGACAGGACTGCTATCTTGGTGGTTATGTGATTGTATTTATTGGAGAATATCCATTTCTTATGCAGGGTGGAAGTATTTATACATTTTTAATAAGATGGGTTATTTTGCCCAGGAAGTATTGCAGCACTGATGACAGATTTTTATGCAGCTGCACGAATTTCTTTTTGCCCAATCTTAAGGTATCAGCGGGGAGAGGAATGAACTATTTGGAAGAGGAAGTTAAGGACAAGATATTTTAATTTATTTTTTTTTTAATCTCAGCTGTGTTTGGGGTTAAAATCTATTCTTCATAGAAGTTTTTATTCTCACTGAAGTTAAAGAATCTGCAGTGGAACCTGCCGTGGAGTAAGCTCTTCAAGGATTTTGTTGCACTCTGCTAAGTGCTGCAGTCTCTGGTCTTCATTCAACAAAACACCCTTTTTTTTAACCTTGAGATTAGTTCCGCTGAAGTAAAAGTAACTTAAAGCACATGGTGAAATGATTTGTTGAGTAGAAAGCCAGGGTTCTCAGCACCTTTGCTGGGCTCGGTCCCCCATTAAAGAGCAAGTGCCAGGAAAAAGGAAGAAGCTACAGGTTTCCACTGGCTGGTTTAATTCAGCTCCGTGCTTTAAAAATCATGAAAAGTACAACACTTAGGAGTAGGACAACAAAAGCTACAAGGGGACATCTTCTGTGCAAGCAAAACGGGATTGTTTTTTTATATGAAAGAGAGGGACATTTGGGACATTTTCCAGGTGGTTTAAAAAGATGAAAAATGTGCATAAGGAGACTTTCCTCACACATATTTCTAGCTAGTGCTTTTCTCGACTGTACATCATACTTTTCTAAATAACTAGAACTTACAAAAGAAGGGAAAAAAAATACATAATGATTTGTTTATGCAGAGAGAAGAGGGGTTTCTTAATGAAAAGTGGGGTTTATTGGACAGGGAGAGAAAACATTTATTCAAAGAAGAGGCAACAATACCCTTTTTCTATACATTAAATGCAATTCATACTTCACAGAGTATATTACAAGGGTGTTTCTTATCTCTTTCACATACCTGCTCGCCTGCCTAGTGACACAAACAAGGCATGCTCTGATGCCAATACAAGCAGCACCCTTGCTGGTGGAAACGTTCTACTTTTTACCTCCAAAGGAACTCGGGACCCTCTGGCTGGGGGTCCTGCTGTCCCACCCCAGCTGCCTGTGAAGTCTTCTGGGTTTGGCCCCTCCATCTTTAGTTGAGTTTAATCTTCCCAAAAGAGTCTGATAATACCAGGAAGTCAAAAAACCATCTGGTATAAGAGCCCTGCGCTCAGGGTGTTAAGGAAGAAGGTTTGGCCACTCCTGCCTGTCCCGTCCTCGTCCGCGTGGTGCATCCTGTGCATGGTTAACAGTTTTGGCAAGGGAGGTTTGCAAGAAGCATGAGTTAAGGGAAGGGCTTTCAGCTATGTGACTACAAAAGCTCCTACTTACATTACTAAAGGTTTTTGGTGATCAAACATTTTCAGTAAAAACTTCAGTACTCGTTATAGAAAACTGAGTTGCAATGCATGCTACCAAAATGAAAAATCTTTTCTTGTGGGAGAAGATCGCTGAACTTTTGATTCTCTTGTTACTTTTACCGTCCAGCTGAGTTGTGCTTTGTTGCTGTTGTGGCTCGTGCAGCTCCAGTAACGCAGCTGTTGAGGCTCGATCCGTGCCGGAGGAGTTTTAACTCATGTGGAAACGGTGCTCCCCTCGCGTTATGTGGGAAGAGAACTCGTACCTGTCCTGGCTGTGGTACCCGCACATGTTGCATTCAAAAGGATCGCGGAACCCGTGGCAGCCCATATGGATCGTGTACATCACGTGATCCAAGAAAAGGACTCGACAGTGTTCGCACTTGTAAACTTTCACTTGCTCCCCATTGCTGCTGATCACTTTGAAACCATCCTGGGAATTGTCAGTACCTGCCCTCAAGACATCATATTGCCTGTTTTCTTCTTTTATAGAGATGCCGTTTCTTGCATGGGGACCTATGTGGTTTGTCAGGTAAATCAAACCACTGCGTTCCTCGTTATTGCTCTCTGTGTCTGTTGAGTCTTGGCAGCTGTTGCTGGGAGAGGCGTCTCGTTCGGAGGAGACAGATTTGGCTTTGGAAAGCAGCAACAAGTTCTCCACTGCGGTGTCCTGAGCTGTATGGTTGGAGCGAGCCTGATTGTCCCCGAGAGATTTGTGGAGCTGATACATGGGGCTGATGACGGGCACCACCTCAGAACCACCTGGTGGTGTCTGGACAAGGGGACGCAAGGACTCTGCCCCCAGGTAACTGATGGCATTATTGATGGCCTGGTCTATAACGTGTGTCTGCATGATCTCATTCTCCTTCTCATAGTTGGTGGTGGCATCGTATGAAAGATCGGGCAGACATTTCTCACCTGCAGTGAAAAACAGGCAGGAGTCAGAAGGTTGATTTCGACATAATTAAGGAACCAAACATCATGGATTAATAAAAAAGGAACGTGGAAGAAAAGAGTTGATCAAATCCACCTCTGAAATTCATCTGAGGTATTAATAGTTCTTTAATACAGCTGGTCAGAAAAAAGGTTGGTTGGTGGTTTTGGTTTTTTTTTAACCTGCAAGATAATTTGAGATCTTTGGAAAAGCAAATGGATGAAAACAGATTCTGGAAATAATTATATGGGGACTCCTGGGAGCTACAGATCAAGTGCTTCATCCTCTCTTTCTCCTTTCTAACTGGACTCCCTCATCAGCCTGTCACAGTGAGCTGAGGCATGCCTCTGTCTTAGTGAAGAGAGTGCACAGCACAAGTGTGGTGAGCCTGGCCTTCATGCTTCACAGCATGAAGCACGTTATCAATATTTTTCCCTAAAATATTACAGTTTTACACTGGATATTGTATCTTTTAGTTTTAGACCTTCAGTTCTTTACAAATAACCCACATCAGCAATGTGGTCATTTTGCAGAAAAATCAACAAAAACTTAACTTTTCATATTGCCACCCCCCAACACACCTTGTTTTTCACATGAGCCATATTAGACACATTACCAGAAGCTACTCATTTTCCCAGAAATTTTCTGTCAAAAAGTTATCATCTACAGGAGCAGCCAAGAACTATGGAGAAAAATTAAGTGCATTTGTAGTTGGAATATATTTTTCCTACGAGGTAAAAAGTCCTATATAGAGCAAGATTATGTTTTACTTGTAACTTTGATTTGGGATGCCAAAAGTAAGGGGGGACTTCTAATTTTTTAAAAAATCAGACTGTAGTAATATATCTCTGTATGGATACCATAATACTGAACCCCGAGTTTCTCAAACGGTTTCTCAGAATTCCTGGACAGGTATGTCTAAGCAAAAAATAGAAGGTAATAGTTAGGAGGGGGATAAACTATTTAAAAGCACAGACACCAATTTTATGAATCTGAACAGTCTTCTCCAGTGGTGTAAACCATCATTGTTATTATCAGGGTCTTAATAAATTTGTGCAAATGCAAAAGGGTAAAAAATTCCCCCAGATTCCTAGGGACTACCAATAACACATTGTTTACACTCCGGATGGATTTTATAGCTCTGCAGATCTTGGGAAATTCATTGAAAACCACAAACATCTCTGTGAGGGCCTGTCACCATTTTCTAATCAACGTGCCATTTGCTGGAAGACCTTGGAAAGTCCTATTTTGCCTAAAAGAAATGCTAATAGGAGCATGGAAAATTTACCAGAAGATGTCCAAATTAATTAATCAACAATTTCCCACCCAGCTTCTACTCAAATTGACTATTCAAAGCCAGTGAAGAGCCCAGAAAACGTCTAGTAAGACACTATTGCAATGATGGGGCTGAAGTGTAGAAAGCCCTGCTGTCTACATTTCCCACAAGCTATGGTTTCATACCAGTTTGTCCATGCTCTGCGAGCGAAGAAACACTCTGAGCATTGCGTAAGTTCCTACAAGGGATGTCGGGTACAGACACCTTCTAGCTGCGCTACACGAGCTTCTACTTCCTCTTCTTTCCTTTCCCTACTATTCTGCCAATTTGAGCACTCCTCTACTGGGGTGCATTTTATGTTTTTCAGATTTGCCCATTCTAATGCTATAGTTTTCAGGCAGAGTTTGAGGCTTAAGATTCCAAACTGGTGTTGTGAAAGACTCTTGAATGATACAAAGAAACTGCCCTAATATAAATGTATACCCATAACCCAAGGATGAAAAAACGAGGTCAAACTAGTTTGTATTCCACGTGCACTGTGTATCACAGAGAAGTTGGACTGGTCTTCATTATACACAAAATTTTGGGCATCCAGAAGTCATGATTTTAATAGCTGTTTCTTGGGTAATATTTGCTTTATGTAGCATGGCCAGTTGGTAGGTGGACTGAGAGGATCAAATGCTCATAAGAAAAATTTGGTTCCAAGCAGAATCGTCTAAAACAGACACAAACTTGAGGTAGGGAGGTATCATTTCTATATCTGGGCAACGCAGATAATACTTGCACTCATTAAAAATAATAGCTCATTTCTGTGGTTATTAGAGCATAAGTAAATTAAACTGCTAATGGTTTGATGCACTTCGAGCTGTGCATTGCCAGGGTTCTGCAGCAGGTACCTAAATAGTAAAAAATGCACACAGTGCATGTGGGCACTTTTTTCTTTTCTTCTTTTTTTTTAAACCTGTCTCTTTTCTTTGTTGCCTGTTGTTTTAAATATGCGTCATCTTCACCTGCAGTTCTCAGTCTCATTTGGATGGCCTAGTTCTGCTCTTGGGTCTGGGAGCTATTCCAGTTTGGAAGAGATAGAGAATTTTACAGATAACGGGCTTAATTTGGTGACCAATCTCATTTTTGAAAGGTAATGAATTTAGCGTTGAGAACGACTGGAGCAGCAGACAGTCTCTCCCTTATGCAAAGGATGCCATTAGCTCATTCTTCCTGGAATTTGGCAGGGGGATTGGGATGACATGGTAATCTACTGAAGCAATAAACATGTTTTATTACCCAAAAGCTCTCCTGACCAGCTGGCCCAACCTTGTATTAATCAGGAATTTACCTATTACATAAAGCAGCAGGTGAGGATTGGAAAGGAAAGGATTTGGGGGCATTTTCTTGTCAGAAAAGGTGATTCTTTTGCAGATTAGCAAATTTCCATAAATATCTGCTGTCAGTAGGTTGTCTTCCTACATCTCACCCCAAATAACTAACTGACAGGCAACTCTGCCCTCCTAAAACTCATAGTTATTCTCAGGGTGAAGAGAGAAATAGTGAAAAAATTAGTCCACACCCACAGGTACATGACAGATATAGGATACTTGCTAGTACCTTTTAAATTTTAACACTTCTGGCCTTCCTGGAGTTTTCACAGAATTAGTGTTTTGCCTAATGCAATCAGTTACTAGAGTGTCTAAATGAATCAGGTTTGCCTCATATAGCTGAAATATTCTTGTTAACTACTTCTACTACAACTTTTGCCCTTTAGCATAAGCATTAGCTTTTCTTATCCCTGACTGCCTCCCGGAATTGTTGCCTTTGGACTTGAAGATAATCTTGGACTTACATTTCAAACCTTTTGTTGCATCTCCTGATGTAGCTGAGATTCCCCTTTCCTTTTCTCAGAAATACTAACTTTCCTTTCACCCCTGCGTCCTCATTGAAGAATATATATTTGGAATTTCCATCCCATAAACTGGTCTTTTTTGCCTTGACTTTTGACTGAAGACCTTGTTAATGTGCATTTTTTTTCAAAGACTTCAGTTTTCTCTGATTGTCTCCTACAGACTAATATTATAAATGAATGTGCAGAGAATTATAAAAGAACGTAATTAGATATGAGCATATGCTGTCCTCTGATCTCTCATGTTTTTATTAATTTAAGACTAACTCTATGTAGCTGACAAAATAGTGTCTGTGGGTATCACTGCTACAGAACCAATCTAACCACTGCTTGGTACAGGCTCACCAAACAGAGCAATATAGGTGTAGCCTCCATTTTTTCCTTGTTAAGAAAAAATCATGCCTAATGGTACAAATGGGCATGGAGTTTTTGCATCATTTACAGAATGTATTCAAAGATGTTTTCATCTAGCTATTGTTTTCAGACCTATGTATATTTATTTCCATGATCATTTTGGGCTGTAAAAGTATACAGACTTTACGAAGGGGTGAATAATGTTATCCAGCCTATGCTCAACTATTCAGAAATGCTTTGACAAACACCAATATGCCCAGATCTGGATGTCTGGATGTCATGCCAAGATATTAATATCCAAGGTATTAATAAAATAACCCTGAAAGTGTGGTCAAATGCTTTTCCAATAGGAAAGTTTTATTCCTTTCTTTAGGTTCTTAAGACAACTTCAAGAGCCTCTCCAGATCTTGTAATGATCTGGTTCACAAGAAGCATCAGAAAAAAACAGGATAAGGACTTAAAATCAATCTCCAGAAATGTATGCTGGAGAAGTTTGGTTGGTTTATTGTTTCCCCCAACACATTGCTGCTTCTATAGAAATAGATATTGCTAATTTAGTAAAACAAGCAAAATCATAAAGCAAAAGTAAAAATCCTGTGGCATACTTTTTGGGGGGTTGTTTTGGTTTTTTTTTTAGGAGACAGCAAACGTTTAACTCTTACCAACAAATTTCTGAGGCATAGAGCTCTTACGTTTGGCGACGTTACTTGCTAGTCTATCCAGCACGAGGGATCTTTCTGACCCTATCTTGCACAGGTCTTCAGCCATTTCACTCTGGTTAGTTTCCTCTTTTATGACTGAAATCAAATGACATCAGAAGGGTTAGGCACGCTCGTTCCATTGTAATGGAACTATTGTCTTCAGGTTATTGTTTCTCAGCTAACGTCTTGTAGCTCCCAACCAGCTGGAAGGAGGAACTCACCACTGCAGACACGGGACAATTCTGACTCCTGGTACGAAATCCCTCACGCTGATGAATCTATGGACATGTTCCTGTTTCCCTCATTTAGGACACCAAAATGAGATTGAAACTGCAATGCGTCTGCCTGTAGGTAAGGTTATCACTCCACCCTTGTTCTACAGCCACTCTGCATTTCCAGGAATAAATTACATCCTGACGTCACGCTGGGTGTGAAGCAGTTCACCTTTTCTCCCTCCCACTGTCACCCCCACCTGTCCCTCTGCACCTCTCCCAGTGGAACTGCCCATACAGACCATTGCTTCTGTAGCAGGAACAATGGACAAACTTCTCAACTCCGGCAGTGGAAGATGTATTTGCAAATACACCAACCCTTCTCCTCTTTTCCCCTAGTAAATATTGCTATACTTCCTTAATGGAAATTTTTACTTTAAATGGCAATTTAACCTAAGTTGCTAAAGTCACATTTATAGTGGAGCGCTGATTTCCAACACTCAGATGTGTTTCCCAACTTCCTGCTGCTGCTGGGACACTGGAGAATTAGAGAGGAGCTCAGCTGTGAAGCTCTAGGAAAGGGAGACTATTTCACTTTCACTACAGTGAAAGTATTCAGTATTTTTCTGCAGAAAGAGAAAGGATGTATGAAAACGCACTGGCAAAACAATGACTATGAAAAATGTATGTATTTCTGACTTCCACCATCGAAAGGAAGGGGGATATGCAGTGAGATCACAGCACAACTGGTTTTTCTTTTTTCCTATTTCCTATTTCCCTATTTCCTATAAGGAGGGTCAGAGGAAAGAGACTGATTTGACTTTTCCCTGCTACTAGGACAGCAATATTTTTCCTGAATTTATGAGTTGCTATTAGAGGGGGAAGCAAAAGATGATTTTTTTAGACTTTGGTTCTGCAAGCTATTTTGATTAGGTGCGCCACTCCACTACATTTTGCTTTCTGTGCCTGCTGAGAATTTGTTTTATCACTGGATTTACTCTCCCATTAGCCATAAGATGCCTTCACAGAACCCATCGCTCTGGTACCTGGCTGTTGCTCAATAGCCGAGAACACCCTGTTCCTATGCAATGTTATTCTGGCAACATACCACTCTTATAAAAGAATGATTGTGAAAGTTTCACTGTTCCTGAAAGATGTGAAATCAGGGTCTGGTGGACAACTGGAAAGAACAGGTGAAGGGTCCTAGACAGAAACAACCCACAATACCAAGCAGAAGGGTAAACAACTGGTTCTTGAGTCCCTGCTGCAGCAGCACATACTGCAATGACAGTGACCGTAACCGTAACCATGACAGTGAGTCTCACGGAATTATGCCCCAGTCCCATCAGACGCTAAAGACTGTGGCCAATGCAAGAAATGGGCAGAATTTGGTCATGAAGATGCAAGATGTTAAAATGGTACCCAGTCATCACCGAACAAGCACACGCTGGCAAGAGCCTTGGGCTGGCTACGGCTTCCAGACACCGCTTTAGGAGGAGACTTAGAGAGAATGTTTTAATGCAGCCTGTTCAATAGAGTAACAGAGACTGAAGTTTTAATTAAAAGCTGAAATGATCAAGACATATCTGTTTAGGATGTAACAACATTCCATTTCTAATCAATTAAAGAAAGTGTAAGTTATGTATTCAACTGTCAAACTTTTAATATGGCTATTAAAAAAAACACAAAACCAAACTGGCCAAATTGAATTATGTACTGATTTCCACCCTTTGCAACTGATATCCCCTGAAATCTGCCACCAACCTATAACTATTTTCCTGAAATTTAGTATATGGTGTCTGTAAACTTGAAAATAAAATGTCTTTCCAAATTAAAATCCCCAAGTGACGGAAGAAGTTGTAATTGACCCTTTTTAAACTTCAGAAACTATTCCTATTGTTATTTTACAAGCCTGGTAAGACTTCAGCATGCTCCCACTCAGCTCAAATGGAAAACTCCAATTAATATCTCTAAAGTAAGACCACATGAACGGTGAAATTCTCGTCCTCTAAAATAAGAATTTGGCAATTAGATACAGCAGGTCCCTAATTTCATGCTGAATCGCCTTCTTTCAAAGAAAGAAGACAAAAGTTAGAACATAAATACAATCTCTCGTTCCCCTCCTTACTCCTCTATGCTGGATCTTTCCCTTATTTAACTACCTTCCTAATTGTATTTGTTAGATTTACAAGTTGATAGAAAGCTTTTACCAGTTTAGGTCCTTTCAACTGACATTTTGTCTATGTACACAGCCCAAAGTATTTCAAAACTGCTGTAAAAACCAATCCCACTGTAGCAGAATGTCAAAGTAGATGTCCTAGCAGATTTTTGTACCAACTTTTTTGAGTCTGGGGGAAATAAAAGGGCCTGAATTATGACTCTGACAGCTCCATATCACACCATAACACCATAGTGTAACTACCACTTTTCTAGATATAATGCAAAATACACTAAAAATCTGAGGACACTTGCTCATTCTTAACTGTTTCATTGTATGTTTTTAATCTTTGAGTTTATAAGGGAAATAAATAATGTAAACATGGCAAAATGGTATGTTTGCAGTGAAGCAGAATAGATTGCTTAGAATGCAAAAAAACCTGGGAAAAAGGCAGGAAAATCTTATTTTTAGAAACATAAGGATTTGATTTATTAACTGAGTACTAAAATGTTTTATTTTAAGAACGAATTTTTTGGCAGGATACAAGGTCTAAACCCAGAAGCTATTCCTTTGATTCTTTTTTCTAATTTGCAAAAGCACTCCTGTTATATCAAATATGGATATATATCTGATACTTTCCGTATATGCAAGGAAGAAGTGATTCTTTCAAGTATTCATGAATTCCCCAAGTTTTCATCCCACTGAGATATTAGATATTCAGTCCTAAGCTAGGCTAAACTCTCCTGTCATGATTTGCTATAAACAAAAGTCCATCTCTAAAATTCTATTATTTCTTAATAAAGTTCATGACTGCTTATGCCAGTTTCCTTTGGACATTTTTGCTTGCTAAGACTTCAGTAGTAGTGCAGCTACTCATTCACGAGATTTTCATGTTCTGCATGCAGACATTCAAATCCCTGTGCCTGACACTGAAAATTCAAATCCAAAGATGGAATATTTGCTTCTAAATCCCATCACCTCTTTGAGGAATGGGTATTTCTGCCTACTGTATATTACGTTGAGCTTTTCTATTTATACATTCCCCAGCCCCTCAATAAAATTATAAGGGGCGCTGCTCTAACATGCTGTGTGCCAGAAGCATCTCAGCTGTATTCACTGCTAGCATGATGTGCATATACTTTACATTACTGGATAGCGTGTAAAAACATATTCAAGTTCTGTCCAGATACAAAATATTAAATGAGGCATCATTTCAAATAGGTCAGAGAGAACCTTCCATTTTTGTCATTTGACAAACCAAATAGCATACACTGACAGGATCAAAAAGGTATGCCAGAAATTTAACTTACTGGATGGGCTTAAACTCCACCACAGAAACTGGATCTTATATTCTCTATCTAAAACGGCACGTGCAAGGGGATTTTGAATGGCTATTTGCTGTGATCAATCCCATAAAGATCTTTAGGATCCTGTTAAAAAAAGTCCAGACCCCAACAACTCCTTACTCTATTTCTAGGCATAGCTTTAGATTTTATATTCTCCAAGAAATGGACTTTACCTTCATTATAAGAGCAGTCTCTCAGATAAGCACAACAGCTCCTCACCTCCCCCTGGTTTTCTTTTCAAGGGGAGGTTGGGAAGAAGGCTGTCAACAAATTATTAGCCTTTCTGGACTGTCTCAGTCAAACTGGCTAAATTAAATGCCACTGGCTTCAGGTCCTCTTGCTTGGAAGAGTAAGAGCAAAGACAGATGGCTCATCCTTGTTAGATGAGCTGGTCCCACAGGTCGAGTAAGCCCCTTAAGATGTGCCTGGGAAGGGCAGGATATGTGCAATGCAGAAAATTCTGCAGCCCTACCTAGAACACTGATACTAAGTCTTTATTAAGAATACATCCACAAGAGTGCTGTGATATGGGACTCCAAGCAAAAGGGCAAGGTGGGGAAATGATGTAGTCATACTGTTTTGAGATGGTGAACTGAATTTTTCCAGGTCTTGCCAGTGTTCTGCTAGATGCATGAGTTTTACTGTGGCTTTTTGTTGGAGCTAAACAAAACGAGACAACAGCCAAATATTTATCAAATATAGAAAACATCCAGCTGCAATATCATACATATGGCGTATGTGTGTGTCTCCCCACTGCAAAAAATGCCCCAAACGGTTCTACTATTGCCTTTGCACTCCTTTTTCTCTGTATGTGACACTGTTAATCCCCAAATGGACACATTTATTACCTGAATAAAGGCTGCTTGAGATATTCATGGTTTGCAGGTAGTTATGGCAGCGTTCTTTATGTTCTTCCAAAGAGCTGCGCTGCTTATAGCTGCGACCACAGTATCCACACTTATGCGGTTTGCCAACTGGAGAAAACAACAATTAATGGAGAGATTCAGATGAGGCAGGTATTCAACAGCATATTCATAATGGTAAGAACAACAGGAAAAAAGCCCACCCCCAAAATAAACCCATGCTGCGGAGAACTGAAGAAATATCTTGTCAATTTAAAAAAGACACAAACAAACAAAACAAACTAATGGAAAACTAGTTTTATATCTTTACATCAACAGGGCAATTCTGTGGGTGCTGCAAGCTGATTTCTGATGATTCACATCAGATAGGGACTGCGACATGCAATCTTCAAAAACGGCATCTAGAGAAGTTAGCAACTGAGACACCTTCAAAGGTCTGAACATAGTTGCTCTGGTGCCTGGCTCCCACAGAGACTGCCAACGGGGGAGAGACACCTGCCCACGGCTGGATGGCAGTTCTGATGTAACCAGAAACCAGCTTAACCCTTTTAGGACATTGTTAGATTTCACATATTTTCTACTTCTGGAAGTTCAAGAGAAATGGCATGACAAATCCATTACACCAATCCAGATGTAGGTAGTTCCAGGAATTTTGCAGTAACAACACAGTTCCATGGATTTATGGACCTGAATTTTCCGTGTTAGCGTGACAAGACTGTCACCTTAAATCATTTTCCTGTATTACACCAATCCAGATGTAGGTAGTTCCAGGAATTTTGCAGTAACAACACAGTTCCATGGATTTATGGACCTGAATTTTCCGTGTTAGCGTGACAAGACTGTCACCTTATGTGTTATTTCACAATTTTAGATGGTTACACAGCTTAACTTTTGAATTTTATTTACAAATTCTCAGGTGAAAATTGGACTCCGATATCCAATTTGTTTTGTAATGTATTGATGTAAATTTGCCAATTGCAGGAACTAATCAAAATCTAGAGTTTGTGCCTTGCTTCTTTAGCTGTGGAATCCTCAGAGTTTTCCAAAAGTGTCTAGGTATAATTTCATGTATATATGAAAAATTATGTTTAAAATTGTGCAGCCATGAAAATCAGTAACAGTAAGGGAGAAGGAGGAAAATATTATTTAAAATATGTGATTTCCTGAATTGGGCCAGGACCAAACAGGAGAAGTGGAAATTAGTTTTGGACATCTGGGACCTACACTAGGGATCTTGTTATGTAATGTGTATGCTAGAGAAGGATTTCCTTAATTTTGTGCAACACAGATATGTCACTTTGAGAGCTCCCCTTCTGCTACTCAGAACTTGGTCCTAAAGCCAACATTGGCAAGTAAAGTTACCAGTGTCAGTTCCAGCGATATGTTTTGGAGGTCTCCTATCCAAATACTTTGCATTTCCATCTTAGCTTGGAAAACTAGATGAGACAATACTCTGCTTTTAAAGGCACTTTAAAGGTGCTAAATTGGTTTTGCTTCACAGAAGGTATTTGACTATGGCTTCTGTCAAACAATGAGATGTTCATAGTAATGGAAAAGCACTGCTATTCAAAATAATTTATTCAGATCTCCATATTACTGTTGAGACAAAACACTGAAAAACTCTAGCAGAATCCTTTTTCTTGAAAGATCCTTATTTTTCTCTCTCCCATGGTTTCCCTCCTTCCCACCCTTTGTCTTTCAAAGTATTTGTAATAACAAGGTGCAACAAATAACTGCTGCTAAATGCTATAGGTGGCATTTACTCCTTAGGTCATGAATGAGTACCAGACTGGAAGTTTTTGGGACTTTGTGACTGAAAACCTACAGTGTTTAGTCCTTATATTATCTCTATATGCAGATAAATGCCATCCAAACCCTGAAAGATTCATCGGCTTTAATTCATGCTCATAGTTCCATGAAACGGATTACTCACATGAGGCTTGTAAGATGAAACCCTAATACAGAAACTTTTCATCAGACAAGACGCATGGGAAAAAAACCCCAGTTCTTCTGGTGTAGGATCATGAGCATGAGATGAGTTTAGTCATTTCTTTCCTGTTAAAACACTGCCGCCAGCTCACAGCTTGGTTAAACCCAACGTGGGGCTACTCGCCTCCCCAAGGCGAGAAGACGTCTCAGGCGTGGAGGCCGTGAAGGCCCCCATCTCCTCAAGGGGTGCGGTGACGAGCACCCCTGGAAGGTCCCACACCTTCACTTACCCGAGTGAGTCCTCAGGTGTCCCGTGAGGGCATCCCTGCGGCGGCAGGCGTAGTTACACAGGTGACACTTGAAGGGCTTTTCACCCGAGTGCAACTTTATGTGGCGCAGGAGGTTGCCCTTCTGCGTAAAGGAGGCTCCGCACTGATTGCACTGGAAAGGGCGTTCTCCTGCGGGGAGAAGGAGAGAGTATGTGAGAACAAAAAATCTTACGCCGTAACAAGAGAAAGATTTCAGTGAGAAAGTTGTTTTCTCACTGCTGCTCTGTGACTTCCACCGGCTGCAGGTTTGATATAACATGAGGCTTTCAGACTAAACCTGCCAGTTTCTTAATGCTTCACTGGCTGGGTCAATTTGATCTGAAAATCTAATTTTTTTTTTCTAAATCAGAATGGCACATCACAATGCAAATTCAAACTCATTTAAATAAAGTGACTGCAACATTTTGTGTTGAAGAGCCACTCTTCCTGATCAGCAGTTTTGGAATAAACCAATATCCAATTTTGCATGTTGTGGCATTTGGTGGGGTTTTTAATGTGGCTTTTTTCAAAGGGTCTTTAAAATATGCCACTGAAGCAGCAAAATAAAAAGGAAACTCATTAAAAATGCATTTCAGGATCACAAGTTCATTTCAGCGTTACATTCTTATATTTAAATGAAAGGCACTTCATTATAACAGTTATAATAACTTCTTTTCATTTACATTTTCCCTGTATTTTCCCTTTCAATTTCTTCTCCATTACCTGTCTGTCCCTAAGCAGCCAAATCAGGAAAGAGACAGAGAAAGAGAGAGAAAGAGAGAGACTAAAATCACAGAAGTTAAGACAGTGCACAGGAAGCCCTGCACTTCCACGCCAAAGTCCCAACCCTTCCCTAGGTGGGGTGTGAAGAGAGGAGCTGCACAGAGGGGCTCTGCTGGCCAACACTGTGGACAGACATGGGGAAAAGCCTGAAGAGATGCAGCCCTCATTTGTCTAAACTGGTGTCTGTTATCAAGGAAGCGAATCAACTAGCCTTCCCAAAAACTAACATGGCTGCTGTTTGCTTTTTAGTGATGTTTAAAATCCATATCCTTATTTATTTGCTTAGCTATTTTTAAAAAATTTAAGATAGGTGAGGCCTTTTCTTAAGTCAGTGAGAAATAAAATATGTTTCCAGTTGTACCAGAGAGGAGTAAAGGGAAATTTATACATGAGAGCACTCCATCAGCTGGAACCGCTCCTGCACGCCCGTTTCTCTGTAGCCCTCGACTAAGTCAAACCAGCCTTTGAAACTTATTTGCTGAATTCTGTTTCTCTTAGGCATCAATGTAATCTGCTCTGGTAATTATAATGCATCGACAATATTAGAAACAGCCCAGAGATGTTCTGTTCTCAGTTTTGATTTTCTTTATATAATAATACTGAGTTTAAAATTTCAGTGCTGAAGTTAAAAATATGAAAAAAATAAATACAAGTTAAAAAAAATCTTCTCTCTTACTTAACCATCACATATTATTTTGCACATCTAGGGCCAACTTGTATGTCCATACGTGTGCATATATATATATGTGCAGCTTGATCATTTTTGACTTTGGGGTAATGCAGTAGAACAGTTGAAAATCAATTAGAGAGCAGCACAGTCCCAACCCAAATATCTGCAGACTCCACCATCAGGGCTGGCAGCTTTAGCATTCAGCAAACGTTAAAATGAATCCACTTTATGGCAAGATATTTTCATTGGTCAAACAGCTCCACACAGGTCAGCATAGTCCCTGTCAAGCCAAGCGAGCTCACTTTCTTTGTCCATCAAGTAGCTGCATTCACCTGAACTATATCCACAACTGGTTCAGCTGGGGTGGCCCACAGAACCGCCAGCATTAGCCGTACAGGACTTTGGAGGGTACTTCACAAGCCATGCACGGCCGTTGTGAGGGGAAAAAAGGAAATGGGTACGAGTCTGTCTGCTTTACCTCTTAATCTTTGGGGCAGTTACTCAGCATGGAAGGTATTTTTCAGAAATGGACTGAAACAGTAATGAAAAAGCCAGTTTGTCATGGGGGACACAAATTCAGAAGAAATGGTTAATTCTTACAGCTTTTCTAGCATTCGTTTCTGTTATTTTTACTCAGAGGAGTGCAAGAGGAGAAAACGAGGATTGTAACAGCATTCTAGGAATGAAATGTAAAGCAAAGTAAGAATGAAATGTATCTCCAGCCTACAGCTCTCGCAATTACAGGGTGAAATCTTGCACTGGATGGAGAAGACAGATGGATGCAGCATTTCAAAGGAGCCTGCTGCACACCAAATATTTCTATAAAACTTTCAGTGGGATCAAATGTAAGGGACCCTGCACTCATGTTGCTCTACAAGAGAAATGACACCACCACCTCCAGACCCTGAAACCACGCGTAGCTTGGCCAGCCCTTGGTGGTCCCTGCTGCAACTACCAGGGTGGAGAACACCTGCCTTGTGACCCCAGCAAAGCTCCCAACCTTGTGGTGCTGTCCTCCCAAAATAGAGAAGGGACAGGCTGGAAAGACACGATGCGTAATGCATCTTTTGTTTAAACAGTCAGCTCTGTGCGTTATTTTCTTGCCGGTTCTGAAGGGCAGGTGTCTGTCCTGGGCAGATTTCACTGCACAGTGTGCACCTATGGCCAAGTACGTGCCCAGGAACAAAAACTGCAGTAAGACCCTCAATTGAATCAACCACCATTGCAGTGATAGGCAAGCCTTAGTGGGAGCACAGGCCTTGGACTACTTATTCAATGATTTATCATATTAATTGGAATATTTCTGATTTCTTAAACAATATAATGACAAAATCACCTAATTCTCAGAGATGTGCATAGCTTTTTGTTTTTTTAAAAAAAAGCTCATTCTTCAATGGGCATTAGTTTTCTAAAGAAATTTGAGACATTTAGACCCAACAAGACATTAGTGAACTAACCGGTGACTTGTGGTAAAGGAGTGTACACATAAGGAGGGAATATATACACTTATGCACACACACATATATTTGCACATATATACACACGCACACGTGCACACTGAGCAAGCAAAGCCTGAATCTATTCCCTGGGGTCTCAGCGCCAGGGAGCAGGAGGGGTTTCTCTCTCCTTGCTAGATCTCTTTTTTCCTAAACACCCAGCAAGACAGCAGCGAGCTGCTGAGAAACAACACACTGGAAGCCTTGGCAAAGAGAGGGAGGGGAGTTGGGCACCTGTGAGTGGGGTTTGCTCGGCAGACGGGAGCAACAGGTAAGGCAGCAGTGCTGTACAGCTGCTTGCAGACAGGAGGGGGCAGAAATATCAGGTGCTGCTCTGCATATCTGCACTTGGCAGGTGTATTCATTAAAAGTAATTATGCCTTTTATCAGGTCAGGCAGTCATTTTATTTTGGCACTTTAGTGTGCTGGAGTTTTGTTCACTTATCAAATATTTATTTAAGGAAACCTCACTGCATATGCGGGTTTTACATGAATTAGCAGCAAAGTAATTCATTTGCAAGTCTTACTCCTTCACCGGGCATGTATTGAAATGGGCTTCGGCGTAGTCAGTTAAATGTCTGTAATAGTATATTCCATTTCTACTTTAATTTTCACAGAGCAGCTGAAAGGAAAAGCAGTCACCACTGTTTCCTCATGACGTCCCTTTAATTTAAACTACCAGCTCTGAGCCTCCACTCCCTTGCCAGCCCCTGAAAACCCGCTGGAGCTCACCTGAGGAGGCTGCTCAGAGGAGAGGAGCCAGTGGGAGGGAAAGCAAAGCCTTTCTTTCCATGGAGGGACTCAGAGGTGCAACTTCACACCCTTTACTTTTACGAAGCGTAAAAGACAGGGGTCCTGCTGAGCAAAGTGCAGCTCATGGGGCACTTCCACTGCAAGCTTTGACTACGTTCCCAGGGACTCAGCCTGCAGGGACCCACCAGGGCGCCAGGAACAAAGGCACCTCTGCCACCCCCTCCCTAAAACCAGGTGTGTCCCCTCACAGGACATTCAGCCCTGGTGCCTCTGACCCTCCTTCGAGGCAGCAACAGCCTACTGTTAATAAATCAGCAGCCTCCTTAAACAAGCACAAAGATTTCTACCTCTAAAGGCATTTTAAGTTGAAACATTTTATTTCAGCTACTACAGCTGCCTCTCCAAGCCCCTGCGTCTGTTTTAAAGGCCTCATGTCTAAGTAATTTTCCATATGCATTTTATCAACTTTTAAAGGATCACATTAACATCCAATTAAAAAATAAACAAAAAAACCTCAGTCAACCAACAAGCACTTCCTTCTATCTAGGAAGTAGGCTATAGCCTCTCTTCTGAGAACTAGTTGTGGCTTTTCCAGTAATGATAATTATCTGCTCTTCCCTGACTGAGGAATTTATCACATGGAATTGCAGAGGACTTTGAAATAGGAAATAAAAGAGCATTGCTAACTTCCACCAGCACTGCTTCTGGACGTGGCTAACCCAGGTGACACTAACACATCACACCCACCCGGAGCTTGAAGAGCCACAGTGGTTACAACGACAGACTGGGGGGATGGATGACACTCGGGCTATTTTCATGGATCCTTTCCATTAAATTCTGAAGACCCTTTGCTAATCACACTCCTTAGTAATATGGGGAAATAACTAAAGTATGATTGAGGGGATGTGGAGGAAGAAAGTATCTATGTTTTCACTAGCACGACTCTTTCAGTGGAATCTTAACTCTCGGACAGGTCATTCTTACCTTAAAAATATTTTAAAATTCTCTCACATTTGCACGTTCTTGCAAAAATGCCAAATATTTATCTATTTTCAAAGTTACTTGTGTAGCACAACCGTACAGTTCAGTTCTTCTCCTTTGACTATGGATGATCTTAGATCTTAGATTTTTAGGCAGGTTATATCAGGTACAATGAGACTCACCCTGGTCTTTACTTCTTCATTTGTTTCAGCCTCTTCATTTTTTGCGCTTTTTGAGACTACTTAGAATTAGAAAACTGAGGCAAGAAGATTCACAGAACTGTATAATTAAAAGCCATCCCTACGGAACACAAAATCTTTACATGTCCCTTTTAGTGTCCCTGTGTGCACCTTTTAGTCCAGATTTGACCAGTGGCAATATTTGGTTTTACTTCATGAAACATTTGACATACATTTAACCCCATTTTTACTAAGACTGACAGTACAGTTCCCTTAAAATTTATGTTGCCAATCACTTTCATAATCACTGATCCATAATGAGTTTTGTTGCATTGTTGGAAACATTAGAACTGGGTTGATTTCAGAGTTAGCCACAAGTGGGTTTTTCTTCAGTAATTCTTAAAAATTTCTTAGAAATTCGACAAGACTTCTTTTTTTTTTTTTTTAAAATTTGTTTTTTTCATGTAGCTTCAAGCGAAATAAACTGCACAATTTCTAGCCCAGTAGATGGACTACCATCAAGAAGAAATCTCCATTCCTGTGCTGTCTGAAATGGCATAACAAAATAACCGAGTTCCGAATACCCACCGACGCTGCATTATCTTACAAAAGGGAACATACGCATGATACAGAAAAAAAGTCTTAGTTCCTAATGTTTGGCCAATTCTTGTCAACTAAAGGAAAAACTATGGCAGGCCTTACCAGTGTGGCTTCGTTTGTGAACCATGAGCACATTTGGACCGATGCAAATTATCCCACAGATATCACATTTTAGCTTTCCGTTAGGAAGTCGAATGCCTCCAACTCCTGACATAGCCTTGCTGCCTGGGCCATTGTGTGAGCCATTCATTTTCTCTCCCGAGGTATCAACTATTCGTAAATCCTCCGCACATTCTTCCCCATTCATTTCACAGGCACGCCCATTCTCTTCATCACTCTGAGTCTCTATTTTAATATTACCAGCTGAAAAAAACAATACAGGATGCCACTCAGTTTTGTTACAGAATAAATACGGTGGCAAAGAAACAATCACATCAAAGGAGATAACTTCTAAACAGCATGTAAAATATACCTAAATAACAAAGGCTATAAACACAACTACATTTCTATGGGCAGTGAGATGAGTTTGCAACACATGGAGCAATGAACAGTGAACATCAGTAAGACAAATACAAGGCATCCAGGGAGTTGGTAATCCAAACAACATTACAAGTCTGTTCCTGGGTCACTTGGAGTTTTTTGCATTTGTAACATTCATTTTGACAATTCAAGCTAATTGGAATGAAACTGAAAATTAATCCCCTTCACATGGATTTGTCCAAAACAATTGTCAAAGTAAGTAACCCATAAAGACAATGGATGAAAGTGAACTGAAAATGCAACATTCTCCACTTGGCAGGAAGATCCCAAGGGTCACACTGAATCCAAATATTTGGTTTGCAGTTCTATGGGGTAAGCAAGGGCAATGGGAAAGCAAAGAGTACAAACACTGATAAAGACACCAGGCTGGAGAAGGATGGAAGAAAGAATTTAAGAGCAAGAACTATCATGGTAGGAAATTAAGGAGTGATAACTGTTTTTTCAGGACAGCTGGATTAGGATCGCTGAGTAGGAGGACAGGATCCCTACAGCCATGAGTTACTACTAAAAAACAGTCAAATCAACAAAGGTGGGTGGGAAAACTGCTTTGAGTTTTTTGGGTAAGTCCTTTGTGTAATAATCACATAGGTGACAATTGCTTGCAGATAGAAGAAAAATTCAAGTATAAATTTGGCATAGCCTCACTACTACGTGATAACACACAGGTTGGTAAATTTGATCTGATATGAACACAGCAAACCTAAATGTTATGGAAAAAAAAAAGATTCAGATCAGTTAATGCCGCTCTTAATTCCTCTTCTCTCCACAGGACTGTATGACATTTTGTGTAGAATAAATAGTCTTTACAGTTATTTCCCTCTTTTCTAATCTGATGATTTTGGTGAAAAAAGCAGTTCTTCATTAGGCTGAAAAAGACCATTTAATTGCCCAAAATCTTACTTTCTTTTCAGTGAAAAACCTCTTCCTTCACCCCACCCCAAAAAGGAGAGCATTTACCTTAGTGGCTGAGAACATCAGGGGTCTGTTTCACCCAATAAAGACCAGGTCTTTCCCTTTTGTGGAATGGTAGTTTTATGGTAGCCTTATAAATAAGTGGTAGTGTAGCAATGATATAATGAAGCTAAGGATAATAATTATCTCAAGAGATGACAGACCCTGAGTTTTATTTGAAATTGAAAGGTTTGACAAACTCTTCTCTGCTCCACCCTGCAACCTGCCATGTGTCCCAGGAGGATTGCATGACTGACAAGGAATATCTGACTCAAAATCCTACTGGGAAACACGTTAAATGCAAAAGTGTTCATATTTTTGAATGTTGTTTGACTGGACACCTGTTATAAAGTTTACCAATCTAGGCATTTTAATGATTTTTCAAATATTGCATTTTTAATAGAAATCATATGCAAGACAGAATGAGTGCACACCATAAATAGCAGTTTTTCCTATAAAGTGTATGCCCTAAAAAGGGGAATAATTTAGAGATATGGAAAAACACATAAAAAACAGTGAATTACAAAGATGGTATGATTGGCTAAATGGAAGTGATCTAAACTATTCTGCAAATTTAGTGGACTACAACCCCGTACTGCTGTTTCCACCATGGCAAACAAAAGCAGTAGACCTATTTGGCTTGAGCATATGAGAGATTTTCCTGAATTCACACACCTTTTTTTTTCCTCATAATTATAAGGATAATAATTTGAATGTAAATATATTTATACAAAATAGTTACAAGTTCCTTGCCCGCCAGGGATTTGGAGAAGGTGGCTACTGAAGTTGTTAAATTAAAACAAAATACATGCAAACAAAGCAAAAAGATCAAGTACTTAAAGCCTTTTAGTAGCATATGCAGACAAATGTACATTACTGAGAAGTGAAATGACACACCAAAAAATTATAAAAGTAGGAACTAGATGGAAATGCTTTGTAGTGAGCTGAGTTTGCGGTATACTTACAGGAAAAAGATTTGGGAATTATTGCATGAAAGTCCCTAAAGCCTTCTGCCCCGTATGCAGCTGCAATAAAGAAGGCAAACAGGACGCTGGTTTGTGGTACTGCTAGCAGTAAGTGTAAAAGAAGATGGCATTATTGCTATAAGAAAAACACCTAGGAGAAAGACAGAACTATCATCACAGAAGCAACACAAGCAGTTCAGGATGAAGCAGGAACATCAGCAGGACAGTGGGCAGGGGAATCCTGACCTGCCCAGAACAATTCCCATTTGTAAAAATGCCCTTTTCTTCCAAAACATCGAACAAGTTTTAACATGTTTTCTAAATGCATAACCTCTCTTGGGTATTCCCCTTGCTCGCAGGTTAACTCCTGCTGAAGGCAAGAGGAACTTTTGCTCAAGTGTATAGAAAAGGTCACCAGGAGCAGAGGGAAGCTTCCCCCTAGGGAAGTTGGGTCCCTACAGTGCAAGCTTCCTATCAGGATTTCTTTTTTGCCAACATGCCCTCTGTGTGTGCCAGACATCTCTTCTGTATACAGCTTTGTTTCTAATCACAGCAGTTGTGAAGAGTGAAATTGCATTTTTTTCTTCTCATGCCTGCTGGTCTTACGCAATGGAAGAAGGTGGCATTCAATTATATATATGTGTGTGTGTATGTATGTATTATTCTGTATATTGGCTTATTTTTAGCTTTTATTTCTAAGGCTTGTCCTCACAATGTGTCTACACAAAAGTGGCTGCACAAACACAGTATACCCTGCATATTATGAGTAGCCACGTGCAAATTAACATGCCATGGGGCACACCGGTACGAGCAATGATGGAGTTCATCACTTGACATAAGCAATGACAGGGATATTGATCCAGTCAATCCTCCCTAAAGCTCTCTGCAGCTATGTCCCTGGACTGTGGTAGCTGTGCTGCTCAATGCACATCCCCAGGCAGACGAGGCTGAGCCTCCAGGATGCCCTTACGATTGCATCCGTTCAGCAGCGCAGCTCACGGCAGGGGCTCGGCTCAAGTGCAGAGCTCACTGCCGGTGGCAGCTGATGGACGGTGAGGCTACCTGCTTCGGCCTGGGTGCTCACAGAGATTTTATACTTCTAATTAACAAAAAAAGTCTCTTCATATTCAAATTTAGCACTTCTTTCAAACCCCTTTTCCAAGTGAAAAGTAGTAAAGAAAGCCCCACTGATGTAGGAGACACAACAGGAGAGAGAAATTGCTCCAGTAGAAATACTAAGGATTTTTGTTAAATCTGAATGGGAAATGGGAAGGCAGGCTATACTTTTTTTTTTTTTTTTTGTAGACTTAGACTGAAAATAAAAATCAACAGCATTTTCTATTTCTTTTGTAAGAGAGGTTCTTGTCCCTCCCTTGCTATGGAGGAGAAAATCACTCTTGGAGCACTGATGATGTGAAAATACCTGTGAATCAGACTTTTCAGATGCACTGATCAAGAACATACTCAGCATTTGTACAGGTTCCTCACACAGTTACTCTATATAGTCCTTGTTCAAATAATTTGTGTGCACATCCATGTCTATGTACAGATAGATGCAACTCTACAATAGTTGGCAGCAATAATTTCTCTTTGGCCCTTCTAACACCATTAAGAAATTACTCTTTAATTAATTTACTTCAATTTGTTTGGAGATGACCTTAAAAGGCTCTGTATTTTACTCTCTTTGTACACATTATTGCAATTCAGGGGAGCTTAATCCAAACCAGTTTTTTTGTGCAAGGAGCGTGGAGTTCACCAGTGTCATTGAACTGACAGCTCTCCTCTACTCCCTTTTTACCTACCCAGAGCATGGAAAAGTTACCCAAAAGCAGGACACTGGGTGGGTCTCTTGTGCTCTCTGATCTTTACTGGGAGCTTCACTCAGGGTTCTCTGAAGAGCATTTGAAATGTACGTTACGAAGACTGTTCTGTATTCTAGGGTTAAAGGTGGTTTATGCAAGTCTTTGGAAAAAATAAAATAAAATTGCCAAGTCAAAGGGGAAGGGGGTGATGATATGATTTATCACCGAAGAGCAGCATAGCTGGCTCAGCACAAGACTCAGGCTGGGACAGTCAAGAAGACAGGCTGGAGGGCAAGGCGACAGTCACACTTCCCTGGAAAGAGTTGAGCAACGTGGCAAGGGAAGGGAGGCGTTTCGCAGAGTGAAAGAGTCAGTGGTGGGGAGAAAGGAGAAACCAAATGGACCTCCTGGGAAACAGGATGTGGAGGGTGGCGTTTAAAGGACAAAGAAATAGGCAGTTGGAAAAAAGGCATGTGAAGAATTAGTAATTTGTTTTCAATCCATTGCCAATTTATTTTCTCTTATAGCTATGGGACTCCCTCCCAGATGTAAAATCCTTTCAGTTTTGTGAGATTTCGGCACTGGCACAGGTTTAAGTACCTGGGCCAAAATCCCATTTGGAAGGGGACATTTAACTCCCAAGTCATATTCTTTTCCGGTGGGATTTTTAAAGAAGAAAAAAGCATAAGACCTCACTATCAAAGGAATTTAGAGAGTAACAGAGAAAGATAAATCACACTGAAGCTCCTGGGACATTTTAACAATGAGTTACCTAACTCCCTGTGATTTTTAATGGGCATCTTTAGTACTTGTATGCCAGTAGGGACTTTTAACTACATTTTGTGGCATACCCTGCCTTTAGGAAGTTATCCTTTAGCATTTCTTTGAAAATAACCATGATGATCTGATTTTTGGTCTGTGCAATATCTTGCTCGTACTATATAGCCAACAGCAAAGAAAAGATCTTTCTTCAAGTTGCTTTGAATAATTTGGGTGCATGTAATTTTTTGTTTAATGGCTCACTTGTTATTTCAAGACAAGTCAGAAGTATTTTATTGATGCTAGTTGATGTTTAAATGGTAGCTTTAAAGTCCAACAAGAGCTT